TATAGAAACATACTCTATATCTGAAACACAACATCACTTCAGAACAAAACAAACTCAAGAAATACTCTCTGTAAAGGACACGACCCAACGAAACTCATCAAAGAAAATTCTCAGAAAACTCAGCAAAACATCAATTTTTTTCCCGTTTTTTACGCACAGGCTTGTAGTGGTCATTTAAAAGACATCAAGTGTTACATTCAACTCAATGGAGAAAAATATCGCCCTACATATCTCTCTCCGATTAAGGTTTTTGACAATATTTAGTTATTTACACATAAAAAAAATTAAATCTTAGCCTTTTAGGACTGCCCCATCACATCCTAAAGAGATTGGATGTTTTATGCGCAATGATTAAAACTATAGGGTTTTTTTTCAAATACAACACATGGTCAAAACATACGCAAGCCATAACATACGCACCATCATTTTCACATAAAATATCAATTCCCCATTTACAAAACATTTTCAAATAAATCATATTCTTCACAGAAATAAAAACAGCCTTTCCATTAGCATCAAGTCTCCACCAAAACAATTAAACACACAGAGCCCAAAATCTCATAGTTCCTATCAACTACAAAATTCCGATTACACAAACATTTATCGAACAACGAGTACAATTAACTTTCGTTATCAAAACAACACTGATTTTATCCCACAATGAACCGCTATCCCGGACCTCTATATCACTCCCTCTCTCACCCTCTCTCTCTCTCTCTCTCTCTCTCTCTCTCTCTCTCTCTATCTCTCTTATCTTTCTAATCTGCAACGTAAAAAACTTTCTCATTTCATCTCTGACCTCACCTTCTCTCCCTTGCCTGATTTCACTTACAATTTCTCTACCTTTTCACTTCCATTTTCTCCAGGTTTTCACGCAACTCATTCTACACATACTCTGATGATTCTACCCAGACAAATTTAATACACTAGAAGTTTTCGATAACTCGGTAATGACACTCTTGAAAAATTTAAAGAGCTTGAACTGAGTCCCGCTACCAAATTCTCACAACCAAACTTCAATCCAATAATTCCCTCAGTTCCCCTAATCACCCTGTCGTCCGAGTTCAGGTTCCTCCTAACTCAGGTTCTACGCTAGCCATGTTCTTTACCTCTTTCCAGCACTCTTCCCGACACTCAGGCTCAATGACCGATAACCAATTAGAGCATGATTCAGAGATTTTTTTATCACGAACGTCGAATCATTAACACTAATCGACCAGTTACAATCCATCAATTAACTAATTACACCTCACCATAAGAAGCCTCAACAACACCCATTTGCAACATCCCCACCCTGCACAGCCTATACCCATGAAAAGAAAAATTCCAAAAACACACCCCGATTGTAAACCAATTGACCTTCATCATCACGGCTCTTCCACACTAATCACACTCAACATACTATCCTTCCCGATCTCCTAATTGCCAACCTCCCATTTCCCCTCTAATACTGCTATAATAATACCGACCTCAAAGTCAACGCAATTCTTACGTTGGCTAACACTCTTTTATCCCTGCACTCTCTTGTTTTTGTTTCCACTGTTCTACTAACCCACTAGATGTACTACTCCGAGAATTGGAAGACGATGAGCTTTATCTAACGCACTAACGCTATACAATCATAACATTTTTTTAAGAATTAAAGTTCCCAAGAGTTTCAAATCATGGCACTAATGTTTTACCAATCACACACTACGATTACACTGTCATCCGCTACATGGAAGACTCAACTTACGACATAAATCCTGCATTCAATTCACAGCTCACTGGAAACTTTTTAAAAATAAAACTGACAAGATTTTTTGTTTGCACATAACTAACAAAGATCTTTACCATGTCATTGAGCATTCGGTTAAAAGATAAAAACCTATGAATCTTAATTTAGTCGATTTGATAGTTTTCAATTAACATTCAGCTTCCTCACCCCAAATTATCGTGATTTTATCTGCTCATGTAAATTCATGTTAAAAACAAAAAGAACCCGCTTGCACACTAATTATGATTTTTTACAAAGACAATTCCTACATTGCTTACCTTCAGATAGCCTATTGCAACGATAGTTGTTTATAAACTCTGAACACATATCACCCTATTTCTTACGCTTCTCATATTGCATAAAAAGTGCTAACATGCACGGAAACCTTCGTAACTACGATACTGTCAGACAGATGTTTTTTTTTCCAACCTCGCCAACACTTTCCTCACTGAAGATTTTCGCCCCATTACGCATGATATTATACACCTAATCAATGACCACTCATAGAAGTTGTCTACGGCACAAAGACTTAAAAAATTAGTTAAAAACTCTCACATGAAATCTCTGTTTTGCCAGAGCAAGTTCAGACTTTCAAGAAATTATATATTCTTTGACTATTTTTACGCACTAGAAAAAAAAACAACATGTTGGCAACGCTTATGAACTGATAAAGCAATCAGCTATTCTAGAACTTACTTTTCCAAATGGATTTTTCTCCGATCAAGATTCTAGGTAACTGCGACTTTAATATTTACTAATTATTATATTAATTTTTTCAAACCGTTTATATAAGTTTACATTACAACCTTTCTTTCAGAATTCAACAATAAATTTAAAATCAAAATATCAAAAGGAAAAGAAGTCTGTAAAAGTTTTTTAATCAATGATGCTAATCAATTGCAGCTATTTGTTTTTGTAAAATAATTTTTTTTTTTAATAAAGAAAAAAAATCGTATTCTTGCAGTAAAATTGCCATACAATGTTTTGAATGTAAAAATGGGTATTAGATTAAAAGTTGAACTAACCTTCTTGTGTGTGCTTAAATTTGTAAAATATCCTACTCGCCCCCTGAATTGCCCGGGTTTCAAGCACGCTTTTATACTTTTGAGCAAGCTTTGCAAGATGATGATAGTGACTAATTGAGTTTCAAGCTTGGCTGACTAACTGATAACAAATCTTTGAACAGCTTTCACTCAATTCAAACTTTCCTTTAATACGGTTGAAATACCGCAGTCCCATTTGAATCAAATTATTGCCACAAATTATGTCTCCTCACACCACATCCCGCACTGATGCCATCTCTGAAAAAGTTTTTATCAGAAAGCATACGCGCATTAGCCATAAACTCCAAATTCATTTACAACCTATAGAAACATACTCTATATCTGAAACACAACATCACTTCAGAACAAAACAAACTCAAGAAATACTCTCTGTAAAGGACACGACCCAACGAAACTCATCAAAGAAAATTCTCAGAAAACTCAGCAAAACATCAATTTTTTTCCCGTTTTTTACGCACAGGCTTGTAGTGGTCATTTAAAAGACATCAAGTGTTACATTCAACTCAATGGAGAAAAATATCGCCCTACATATCTCTCTCCGATTAAGGTTTTTGACAATATTTAGTTGTACCCACCGCGCTACAACTAAGCTTATGACACACAGCTCACTATTTCTTTTGCCAAACCTCATGTGTGAGCAACTCTTTAAAATCACCAGCTAAAAATGCTTCAGCGAAAATAACAAGTCAGAATGATAACTAAAATTGAATCTCTAAAAGTGCAGATTTATACTGAAAAAAACATCACAGAGCAAAAACGAGCAGCAAAAGGGAGATAAAAACTCAAGAAAAATCCGACTATGGAATAACATTCACAACAATTGCACGATATAAATTATGAAATCAATATCGCAGCAAAGTTATTCATTGAAAAAGAACATTGGCCAAATCGGTATTGAACTCACACGTATTGATCCTTGTCACTTGGCGCTTTACTCAGAGAAGTCAATACTTGTCCCGCTACTCGATCACTAAATACGAACGAATATTTGAGAATGCAAATAGTCTTACTCTAACTTATTAAACCGACACCGCATTGACACAAATCTGCAAATTCAATACGATCTTTTTGTTCACAACAAATCTCTTAGTCTCCATTTCTCTCAACAGCAAGTTCTTCACGATGAATACTAAGTTCTTCATTGACCTAAGCATCCAAAACTCTCTCCTAGAAGAAAATAGAAGATACTCCATATATCCCTCACTTTTGAAACAAGTATTTAAATTGTTTTCATATACATTGATATTTATCACTGTAAATTGATTAGAAGTAACCAATCATGATCCCTTGCTAAAACTTGTGATAAAATGTAAAGCTGAAACTATTCATAGTTTAAGTCAGAGAAAATACAATTTAACTTACAAATCAGTTGCCTCTTTTTCTCCTCTAACCTCGTAAAAATATCAGTATAAACTAGATCTCTTGAGACCAGGAAAAATAAGAGTAATATAAGGATCGGTATAAGACTAAGAGGTTGATCGAATCTACCCGGCCAAAAATAAGATAGCGTGACTAAAAGGCGGTATAACTCATTCGAAAATACTCTATGAGTAGGACACTCTGGACTTCTCACTTTAGAGGATAATTAACCCACTTTAGCGTTTCTTGTTTTTATTCTACGAGGCATGTGACGGGAGTGAAACAAATTACACTACAATCAAAATTAATTTTTACAATTTTGACTATTTTGAGCTTTCTTTTACATTTCAAAAAATATATATTTCAAGTTAAGCGGACTTCAATACCAATCTTCACATTTTAAAGTGGAATTAAATTTGTTTGTTTTATTTTAAAAATACATCTATTGTATTAAAAGACATGTTTCTGCACCTTTCATACCCGATGGTAAAGATCATAAGGCACAGAGCAATGTTTCGAGCTTGTAGCTTCAAAAATATTGTAAGATTTATTATACTGCCTTGCAAGTATTCAGTAAAAAATTCATACTGATTCGCAAGGAAATTATATTGAAACAATCCTTTAAAATTATTTGTTTGCTCTTTTGGATGTGAATAGCAAAAACAGTACCAATTTATTTCGACGCCATAAGCTTTTTCTAAAACATTTTTATAGATTTCAAAAAGACTGAATCAGTTTCAGTATTATACCACACTTCGTACTCTAAAACTTTCTGCTCATTTGGTTCTAATTTTTTTCCTTTTTGAAGCAAAGCAAAGTCCATGACTCCTCCGCCGAGGACCCAGGGCGAGTTGAAACAAGAGGCACTCAAACTAGGCCTCTTATCTCCGGGTCAACAAGATAACTCATCGCCCAGAGCTGATCTTATCAAACACATATATAAAAGCTTCAAGATAAATCGAAACATCGACAGGGCCTCAATTCTTCTAGTCGGGACTTCTGGGGTTGGTAAATCGAGTACCTTGAATCATTTGTTCAACTTGAAAGAATCGCAGTCAGTAGCATTTGCGAAAACAAGCGCATGCGCGTCTGAAACACGAACTACAACTGAGTACATATTGGAAGCGGATTCCCAGAACTATGATGTCACTAGACTACGTCTAGGATTGGTTGATACTCCTGGATTCAATGATACTGACGGTAGCAAACAGGATGCATGTAATTTCTACTCCATCAAGAAGTTCTACGAGACACATATGCAAATGAAAAAACCTAACCTGGTTTTTGTTTTGATCCAGGCAACAGACCCTCGCATACAGGGCCCAAATAGTAATCTCGCTAAATCCCTAAGATGTTTGAGGGAACTCAAACTGATTGACACCAAGCAACCAAATGTTGTGGCGATCATCACTTGGTGTACTGCACTGGGAGAGAGCGAACATAAGTTTTCTAGAAACATCGAGAGCAAAAAACAGGTCGTCAGAGAAACAATTTTTCAGTTTCTTGAGGTAAACGCACCCGTGGTTGCAATTGAGAATGACCTTGAAGACCTCAAGATTAATGGAGATTACACGGTGCTCCCTGATGGAACGCGACAAGTGCGCAACTTGTACAAAGCTTGCGAAGAAGTGTTCAAGAAAAACGGAGACGAATACGGTCTCATCATATTCAACGCAGCCTTTCGACAAGGCAACAAAGAGGTCAAAATTGGAAATGAAGTTTTAGCAAAAAATTCAAGCGCAGAGACACTTTCTAAAGATGAACAAAGTTTTCTTGAGTTCTTCACAAATGCTCAAGAAGGTGGTATTGCGGATCCCATCATACAAAGAGCGCAGGATTTCATCACTGACGGTAAGGCTCCAAGCGCGGAAGCCGCCGTTGAAGTGCAAAATATTGCCGGTCAGATTAAAAAATTAGGAGTTGAAAGGCTGGATGACTTGAAGTTCTTGTCCATAAAGGGACTGAACCTCAAAATAGATACCGATGTTACTCCGACTGGTGAACAATTTCTGACGGAGCTAGGTGTCAAGAACGACTGCTTCGACCTAACAGCAGATTCGACACTTATTGTGGGACAAGGTTACAACATTTTGACCGACTCGTGCGTTCCCGCTAAAATCTTTGATTCGGGATCCAAGTCCAACAAGTTTGGACTGACTGTTCCAAAAATAGTCGAAGTAAAAGCACTGAGCGCAACAGAGACGTACATGGACCAATACAGATCTAAGATCGAATTAGTCCAGAATCGCTTGTCTCATCTGAACATTTCTTTGGACGTTGACTTTAATGTTTTCTCGTTCGCGAGTAAAGCAGGGTTTAGTCTGAGTTCTAGTCACGAAATGTCATACTTGATCGAGGAGCGTCTTTTTGAAGCGAGTATAGGAAACTTCCGACACCCTGATGTAAAACTAACGGCAGCCTTCAAAGAAGAAGTACAAAAACTTCCCAGTGTATTTGATATAAACAATGAAGTCTGTCGCAGCAAGTTTGAGCGATTTTTCAATCGATGGGGCCACTTTGTGGTAAGCAAAGCGTACGGTGGAGGTTCATTGGAAATGAAAGTTAGGTCCACAGCTGTGGCTGGTCAGACCACGGATATCAGCTCCATTCAAGCAGCCCTAGTGGCATTCTTCAGCCCTGGTTTTTTTGACGTAAATTCTTCCATAGAGGTCGGAGATGATAACTTCACAAACTTCAGCGCAACTTCAGTCTTGGCATCTAGCACTGTAATCTGGAACGGTGGAGCTCGTGAACTTCACAAAAAGGACACTGTAAAGGATGGTCATGCTATGGACCAATGGCGCAACTCCCTCACGATTAAGCCTTGCATGCTGACCACAGAAATGCACCTGGAACCCATTTCAACCCTTGTCGACATCGCAGATGCGCGCAAACGCGATTGCACTTACGACGCTCTGACCAACTTCCTAGGGGGGGTCTTTACGGTTGTCGCACATAAAGAAGCTCGAGAGAGAAAAGAGGTAGAAGATGAAGAGAGGCAGAGAAGAAGAGAAGCTGCCGAAAATGAGAGGCAAATAAGACAAGAAAAGGCGGCAGAAGAAACTGCAGAAAGAGAGAGACAGAGAAGAAAGGAGGCAGAGAAAAGAGACACTGCAGACAGATTAGGTTAGTATTGGAACCAGTTAACAACACAAATTTAATATATCCAATTACTTTCTTGATAACTATCACTGTAAAACGCTTAGAATTAAACAACATGATCCTTGACTAAAACTTATAATAGTTTGTAAGGCTGAAACTATTAGTAGTTCCAGCCAGAGAAGAATAAAATTAACTTAGCAAACCATTGCCCTTCCTCGCTTCTAAAATAGCAAGAATACCAAATAATAGATATATTGTGACTAGAGTAAGATTAGGATCAGTATTAGACTACCCGCATCTAAGAAAAATGAAAAAAAAAAATTGATCATAATGGATTTTGTGGTCTGAACATTGTCACAACAATCGACTCCCATGTTAGGTTTCAACAACAAAATTGGATTGACAAACGAGTATAAATCCAATTTTTCTGGCAAAAACAAAATGCATCATAATTCATTTGAAATGCATTCTAGTGGATTATAAAACAAGTACAAAGTCAATTTGAAATGAGTAATGCAAAACTTTTGCAAAGTGAGTACACATCCTACTCCTTTTCTAAACCTAAATTCAAACTGCAAAAAGATTTTGCTGACCTCTCCCTCCTAATATTTGGCCCTTTACTCCCTTACAACTCCCATTCCAACGTTTGCCTCTTTGCCCACACCTGAATCACCCTATCCCCGCACTTATACCAACAGTCCCCCCATCCACTTGAGCATCACCCCACCCTCTGATCTGGTTCAGGTGAGCGTGTGTATGTATGTGTGTGGGAGGGGGTTGGTTCAGTTGGGATTCATTTGGTGGAGGAGGGGTTGGTTCAGGTGGGGGTAGGGTTGGGATTGGTTCGGGTGGGGGATGGCGGGTGTAAGGGTACAAAGGGGCAAACATTGGAGGGAATAGAAGCGGGCAATTGATGCAATTACCAAATTTCAGCTTTTGAGTAACATAAAAAAGAAACGAAGCTATCAAACTTTTTTGAATAATTGAAACTAATCAACTTTAGCTTAAAACGAAGAAAAGACTTATTGGGCGTTGAAATTCGCATCTAAACAAAGTGAGAAAAATCGATTTTAAATCAGTTTAGTGTCCACAAAATAGAAAAAAGACTATAGTGGAATAAGAATGGATTTTGTTTCCTCAAAAAATACTTATATCATAAACCATTTTTAATTACTTTTAATCCAATTTTGTAGACTTTTGTGGACATTGACAGTAAAACCCAAGTTTAATCGACTTTTGTTCATTGAACTCCAATGAGGGTAAGACAATTGAAAGCTGTGTAAGACAAAATCAAAAGACAAATCTGGGTAAGACAAGTCAAATCTGGGTAAGACAAATCAAAAAGCTGTGTTTATAAAGCACCCACTCCTAGCACATACCAATGGTCGACTGAAAGTTTCTTAACTTTGATGAATGAAATGGCAAATCTCAAACTAGCCAACAAAAATGACCTCTGTGACTTAATACTCACCGGTGACATCAACTTCTGACAAACATACTGGGAAGCACTCTCCTCATCTGACATATACGAGAAACAACTACTGGACAAATTAGTTGAACTAAATCTTTCACAACATGCACCAACTCAACTAGACGTGCTGCTTTGCGACAATCCAGAATTAATTTCACAATGTCAAATCGACAGGAATATTCGAGATAAACTAACTAGTCAGTTCTCTGACCACAAACCACTCTACACCACAATTGCCGCCTTTAGCTGAATTAACCTTCCAAAAATAACAAATCATCGATACGCTTTCATACGAGCAGACTGGGACAGCTTAAATTCTTCAATAGAAACTGAACCGTTTATCCCGTACTGCTACAGTAACGTGAACGAAATTATCCGACAATGGTACGAATGGCTGTGGGAAAAAATAGAAAAGTTTGTACCTAGAATAACTGAGCATCGATCAAGGTCACAACCCTGGATCACGCCAGCCACCTCCCACCTCATCAAAAAACTTCAAACAATGAAAAGAAAACCAAAACAAGGTCTCGAAAGACTATTAAAGATCAAAAAACTTGAAAAAGATATTCAAAGGTCTTCCGAAGATGACCTAGCGGAATATGAAAAAACCGTCCTAGAAGGAAGAACTTTCAGCAAAATTCAAAAATACCTTAAATGCATACGCAGGACCCCAACAATTCCTTCGATGGTCAAATACGGAAACACTGAATCATCAAATGAAAGAGAAAAATGTGAATTATTCAATGACTATTTCGTTAGCGTGTTTGGCACAAAAGAACATCAACCGGTATCCTCTTTCCAAAAAGTGAGCTGAATAGATTTATTGTTGACCAAAGTCAAGTTAGTGAAATAATGAGGCAACTTAATGTCAATAAATCAATGGGACACGACAACATTGGCAATCTCATTTTAAAATCATGTCACAAAACTCTAAGCAAATCACTTACCCTTATATTTCAAACCTGCCTTAACAAAGGAATTTTTCCTGAAATATGGAAAATTAGTGAAGTAAACCCTGTTTCCAAGGAAGGAAGTAAAACCGATGTCAGTTGCTATAGACCAATCAGCCTACTCTGCTGCTGCTCAAAATTGCTTGAAAAAATAATATTTGACAAACTCTATACTAAAGTGAAATACAGATTACATGAAAGTCAACATGGATTTCGGTAGCGTAGATCCGCCACAATTCAACTTCTTCTATTTTTTGACCGAATATCCGAATTGAACGATCAACAGGATGTACAAGAACTTGCAGTTCTGTACTTGGATTTTGCCAAGGCATTCGACACTGTACCTCATGATATTCTGCTTACGAAGATCAAAATTTTTGGAATTGGCGGGAAATTGCTGTCACTGATATATTCATACCTCAACAACAGAAAGCAATGCGTTAAGATTGAAGACTGTAGCTCAACCCTAAAAGAAGTCACCAGTGGAGTTCCGCAAGGTTCAATTCTGGGACCGCTGCTGTTCTTACTTTTCATAAACGATCTACCTGAAACCATGAATGACACAAACAGTTTTGGGTACGCAGATGACTTTAAGGCCATTCTACTAAATCAAACTTCCCTTGACACTGCAACTCTGAAAATAGAGAAATGGCTACATGAAAACAAAATGCAACCCAACATCGAAAAATCAACGCTCCTCAGCATCAAAGGTGAGTTAAAAGCTAGTCTCCTGAACCAAAATCTTTCCTCAGTAAACTCACAGCGTGACCTAGGACTGATTGTGTCCAACAAGCTCACATGGAACGAAAATTACTCTCGTCGGACATCCAAAGCAATAAGTGCTCTCTTCCAGATTAAACGAAGTCTGACTATGAAAAACAGTGTGACCACCAGGCTTAACGCATGTACTGGGTATGTAGTACCCATAGTAACATACGCATCCCAAGCATGGACTCCTAGCAGATCGAACATGGAACAACTCGAACGAGTTCAAAAGTTAGCAACAAAATGGATTTTGGTGACAAGCAAAACTTATACTGAAAGACTGAAGGACCTGAAACTTCTTCCTTTGAACCTATACATGGAAATGCACGACATTTTAATACTAATAGCCCTGCTTGAAAATCGTTACGATGTAGAAATAGAACAAAAACCATCTGAATCATGCGAAATCACCCGACAGTCATCAAGAGGCGAATTCCAAATCCCAAAAAGCCGCTTGCAAAAAACGGACGACAACTTTTTCAGACGAGTGAAACATCTATACAACTGTCTTATCCGAGCCTGCCCAACTTTCAGCCTTAGACCAAGCAAAGCGACTCTGACCTACATATACCAGAAACACTTCAAAAAAATGTACAGTGAAGTCAACAAATGTACATGGAAACTCTTATGCAGATGTGGAAACTGCAATGTTTACAACAAGCTGAGATAAAACATGGACTGTAAAAGGGGTGAAATTCCCTAGATCTAATGCTCTGAAGCCTATTCTACTACTACTACTACTAAATCAATTCGGCCGAAAAAAGTGACGAGTAGTCGGTGATGCTTATCTAAAATTACCTTATGAAAAAGCCAACCCGGTGGGAACAACTCCATTTCGAAGAGGACCTCTACGAATTTAGACTTAGCTAAACAAAAACTGACAAAAACAGACAGAAAGAAAAAAACTGAAAAAATTTGACAAATTAGATAAGAAACGCTCAACAAAAGATAAACCAAATTGACAATCAATTCAAAATTAACGCTGAAACCAGTTCACTACAAATACCTAGTCGACTATAAAATCTCGATCTACCTCAAAATTATAAAATCTGCAGTAATTTTGTTAAAACCTTTAAAGGTTTCTATTTTTTGAACAAAGAAAATATTAAAAACATTAGTTATTTGAAAGCATTTATGATTAGTTATACAAAAAAAGTTCACTGCCCTTTCAGAGAATTCTTTCTGTCGTTGTTGTTAGTCTTCTAAACGAACAAAACATTATTTAAAACAACTAACCTTGTTTAAAATCAGAATTATCAAAGTTTTTCTTGGATAATCAACCGATTTAAATCCTTAAACCTTCTACTTTAATTTTATCAAGGCATAGTCTTGCTCAACTTAGCAAACGTTTTAAATATTATTAATTAAAACCGGATCATCAAGTCTACAAATCGTAATTAATTTTTAAAAATTCAGATCAATAAGGTTATCTTTGGATTTTTGTGCATTATCCTTAAAATTAAACTTTAATTTTCAACTCGTAATTAAAATTGAAACATCCAGATCAACATGGTCTTTGCTGTCTCTTTTTCTAAAATTACCCCATCTCCTGAACTAGTTTTCAACGACTCCGAACGTCGATTCTTTTTCAACCCTTATTTACAATCCATGATTAACTAAATTTTTTCCAAAAACTAACCATTTAAATTAAGCTAAACAGTGAAGAACTTCGATTACTCATTCTTCACTTGAACCCTAATTCTTGATTGATTCAGGCCTAGATCAGACTTTAGATCTAATAGAAACAAAAATAGTATCTAATGATCGACTGGAGTTCTAATTATACCTGAACCTTGTAGACTCACGTACTTTTCTCAAACCCTCAATTTCATATCAAA